CCAAGCTGGAGTGCATAATCTTGGCTCACTGAAACTTCCGCCTCCTGAGTTCAAACGATTCTCCTGCCTCAGCCTCCCAAGTAGCTGGGATTACAGGCATCCGCCACCATACCCGGCTCTTTTTTTTTGAGACAGAGTCTCGCTCTTCTATCCCCCAGGCTGGAGTGCAGTGGCGCGATCTCAGCTCACTGCAAGCTCCGCCTCCTGGGTTCACACCATTCTCCTGCCTCAGCCTCCCAAGTAGCTGGGACTACAGGCACCTGCCACCACGCCCAGCTAATTTTTTGTATTTTGTTTAGTAGAGATGGGGTTTCACCGTGTTAGCCAGGATGGTCTCGATCTCCGGACCTGCTGATCCTCCCACCTCAGCCTCCCAAAGTGCTGGGATTACAGGCGTGAGTCACCGCGCCCGGCCTCGTTTTGTTTTTTTAATAGAGATAGGGTTTCTCCATTTTGGTCAGGCTGGTCTCCAACTTCCAACCTCAGGTGATTCACCCACCTCGGCCTCCCAAAGTGCTTCGATTACAGGCGTGAGCCACCGTGCCCAGCTGATCTCCTTCTTTTTATGGATACATAGTATTCCATGATATATATGTACCACATTTTCTTAATCCAGTCTATCACTGATGGGCATTTAGGTTGATTCCATGTCTTTGCTATTGTGAATACGGCTTCAATGAACACACATGTGCATGTATCCTTATAACAGAATGATTTATATTCCTTTGGGTATAAACCCAGTAATGGGATTGCTGGGTCAAATGGTATTTCTGCCTCTAGATCTCTGAGGAATCACCACACTGTCTTCCACAATGGTTGAACTAATTTACACTCCCACCAACAGTGTAAAAGCGTTCCTTTTTTCTGCAGCCTCGCCAGCATGTTGTTTTTTTGACTTTTTAGTAACTGCCATTCTGACTGGCATGAGATAGCAACATATTAACATATGCAAAGCCTGAAGTCTTGTTCATTAGGCATATGTCTCATTCACTGAAATTTAACAACTGGAGGAATTATTATTTTCGTTCTAGAGATGGGGTCTCACTTTGTTGCCCAGGCTGGTCTTGAACTCCTGGCCTCAAGCAATCCTCCTGCTTTGGCCTTCCAGAGTCCTGGGATTATAGGTATGAGCCATCATGCACAGCCTGGAGGAATTACTTGACCACGAAAAAACACTATTGCTATTTTCCAAAGGGGAGGGCACAGTTCTTAAAAGTTCTTTTTTTTGAGACAGGGTCTCACTCTGTCACCCAGGCTGAGTGCAGTGGTGCCATTATGGCTTACTACCAGTCTCAACCTCCCTGGCTCAAGTAATCTTCCTACCTCAGCCTCCTGAGTAGCTAGAACTACAGGTATGCTTTAGCACACCCGCTAAATTTTTATTTTTTATAGAGGCAGAGTCTTGCTACGTTGCCCATGCTGGTCTCCAATTCTAAAGCTCAAGTGATCCTCCTGCTTCTGTCTCCCAAAGTGCTGGGCACACAGGTGTGAGCTACCACACCCGGCCTCAGGAGTTCTTAATAACTGGAAACATCTGAAGTACCACACAAGAAAAAAAGTTCACAATGGAAGAAAGACATGGACACAGGAAAATTACAGAAAGCAAGGCAAATTGAGAGATTATAAAGTATTTAGTTGGTGCAAAGGAATTGCCGTTCTTGTCACTACTTTTAATGGTGAAAACTGCAATTACTTTTGCACCAACCTAAGAGGACTACATCTCATTTCATAGAGAAAAGCATAGGAAACTCTCTCTAAATTTTGGTCATTAGAGCTCCACAGCTGGGTGCAATGGCTCATGCCTATAATCCCAGCACTTTGGGAAGCCGAGATGGGCAGATGGCTTAAGCCCAGGAGCTTGAGACCAGCCTGGGCAATGTGGCAAGACCCTGTCTCTACAAGAAATAAAAAAAATAGCCAGGCATGGTAGCACGCACCTGTAGTTCTTGAGATGGGAGGATCACTTGAACCTGGGAGGCAGAGGCTGCAGTGAGCTGAGATTGTGTCACTGCATTCCAGGCCTGGATGACAGAGTGAGACTCTGTCTCAAACAAAACAAAACAAACTATTCCACAATATCCACCAGGAACTGGATGATGGCCCACGCCCTGGCTGAGCTGCCCTAGTGCCCCCCTTCAGTCATTTCGTGGCCAAGCGCACCCCAGCCTCTCGGCAGCCTCTGAGAGAGTGCCCAGGCCCCCATGAGCTCTGTCCTCGTCTCCACTCACTCCAGCCCCATGATTCTGCGAACCACCAAACTCACCCACATCCGCAGCCTGCACGGCTCCTTTCCCCATTCTCTCCCAAGCCCGTCACCCTCCACTCACTGGGCACCCCCTCAGCGGGACACCTAGGTTCTCCACACGCACTGGGTGTCACCTTTACCTCACACTCCACCTGCCAGCCAATCCTACCGCCCCACCCTCAGGCGCACCCCAGTACAACCTTCCCCAACCCCAACAACACCAGGCCTTGCCCAGGGGCCCTCTCACCCCCCAGCTCTGGGCTGCCCAGTGGCTTTCCTCCCTCTCTGGCTGCCCCACTGTCCTCATACCCGGCCTGTGTTCCACACAGCTCCTCAACCCCACAGCCCTGCCAGTTGCCGCTTAGGGTCCACATGCTCCCTCACTGTCCCTTGACTGCCTCAGAGAAGCCAGTGCTGTCACCTCTCTTCCCTTGATGCCACCTGATTTTGATTCACAGAACTGATCACTACCTGATGTTACATATTTGTTAGTATTTTTTCCCACTAGAGGAGCCTCACCACTGAGTCCCCAGCTCCTGGAATACAGCCCAGCACACAGTTGGTACCCAATAGGTGTTTGTTCAACAAATGGATTGTTTTTGAAGTGTCCTCCACCCCCAACATCTCTGCTTTCCTCTTTAATTCACCCACTCACCCACACACACAGACACACACCCCCATTCACACCCCCACACACTCACCGATATTCACACTCACCCCCCACACACTCACCCCCACACACTCACCCACATTCACACACCCACACACACACCCCCACACACTCACCCACATTCACACACTCACCCACACACACACTCTCACCCCCACGGAAATACACAATGCAAAACTGAGACAAAGTAACCGAAGTATGAGAAGCTCCCTCCAAGACAAACAGCTGCATTTCAATGCTGTAGGACAAATTAGCCTGTTATAAGTGACGGTTATGTCACAGAGCTGTAAAATCAGGCAATCTATCAACATTTTGAGGCAATTCCCTAGGACAAGTTAAAAATTTTACCTTTCTTGAATATTCATTTTTTAACACACTAAATGATAGTCAATCAAGGCAATGGAAAATGTTAACTACATAAATCAAAATAGGCAAAACAAAGCTTAATTCTGAAATAAAGTAAGATAAAAAGTGCTATTTATTCCTATCTTTTCTCTTTATTCCTATTAGAATAGTCATTAAGAAGCTGTACAGTGGAAGAAGTATATACGAATTGAGCAGATGGCCTGTGGAACAGATTATCTATGAGTTGAGGGATGGCCTGTGGAGTGGATTATCTATGAGTTGAGGGATGGCCTGTGGAGTGGATTATCTATGAGCTGAGCGGAAGGCCTGTGGAATGGATTATCTATGAGTTGAGGGAAGGCCTGTGGAACGGATTATCTATGAGCTGAGCGGAATGTAGAATGGATTACCTATGAGCTGAGAAGGCCTGTGGAATGGATTATCTATGAGTTGAGGGAAGGCCTGCGGAAGGGATTATCTATAGCTGAGTGGAAGGTCTGTGGAACAGATTATCTATGAGCTGAGCGGAAGGCCTGTGGAACAGATTATCTATGAGCTGAGCGGAAGGCCTGTGGAACGGATTATCTATGAGTTGAGGGAAGGCCTGTAGAATGGATTACCTATGAGCTGAGAAGGCCTGTGGAATGGATTATCTATGAGTTGAGGGAAGGCCTGTGGAAGGGATTATCTATAGCTGAGTGGAAGGTCTGTGGAATGGATTATCTATGAGTTGAGGGAAGGCCTGTGGAACGGATTATCTATGAGCTGAGCGGAAGGCCTGTGGAATGGATTATCTATGAGTTGAGGGAAAGCCTCTGGAACGAATTATCTATGAATTGAGTGGAAGGCCTGTGGAACGGATTATCTATGAGCTGAGCAGACCTGTGGAACGGATTATCTATGAGTTGAGGGAAGGCCTCTGGAATGGATTATCTATGAACTGAGCGGAAGGCCTGTGGAACGGATTATCTATGAGCTGAGCGGAAGGCCTGTGGAACGGATTATCTATGAGCTGAGCGGAAGGCCTGTGGAACGTTGATTATCTATGAGTTGAGCGGAAGGCCTGTGGAACGGAAGGGAAGGCCTGGAATTGATTATCTATGAGTTGAGCGGAAGGCCTGTGGAACGGATTATCTATGAGCTGAGGGAAGGCCTCTGGAACGGATTATCTATGAGTTGAGGGAAGGCCTCTGGAACGGATTATCTATGAATTGAGCGGAAGGCCTGTAGAATGGATTACCTATGAGCTGAGAAGGCCTGTGGAATGGATTATCTATGAGTTGAGGGAAGGCCTGCGGAAGGGATTATCTATAGCTGAGTGGAAGGTCTGTGGAATTGATTATCTATGAGTTGAGCGGAAGGCCTGTGGAACAGATTATCTATGAGCTGAGCGGAAGGCCTGTGGAACGGATTATCTATGAGCTGAGCAGAAGGCCTGTGGAACGGATTATCTATGAGTTGAGGGAAGGCCTCTGGAACGGATTATCTATGAATTGAGTGGAAGGCCTGTGGAATGGATTACCTATGAGCTGAGAAGGCCTGTGGAATGGATTATCTATGAGTTGAGGGAAGGCCTGTGGAAGGGATTATCTATAGCTGAGTGGAAGGTCTGTGGAATTGATTATCTATGAGTTGAGCGGAAGGCCTGTGGAGTAGATTACATATGAGTTGAGCGGAAGGCCTGTGGAACGTATCATATAGGAATTGAGCGAAAGGCCTGTGGAATGGGAAGACCCGCACCTGCAGCGCGATCATCGGAACCTGACTCTTGCAGTGGCTGCACGTGGCTTCCCGGTATTTACACGCCTTCTCCACGTGGTCTCGCAGGTCTTTCCTCAAGACCTTTTCTTTGCAGTCAGCACGTACACATGGAAGTTCTTCAAAATGGCAATCATTTTTTAAATGCACCTGTAAGACAGACCATTCAATGTTCTTAATTTGGAAAAAATCCTAAATCTGAAATATCAAATTCTAATCTCTATGCAATGAAACCATAAAGAAATGTTCTAACCTCCTGTTAGACCAGTTTTTCATAGCAAAGAGTAACAAATACGTCAAGAGACACTGAATTTCATATTCTACTTCATGATTACTCAAACTATATTGTTGTTGAAGAATTAAGTCAACTCTGCTTCCAGGAAAAATGAGTATCTGCTAAGAACTTTGTTTTATTCCAGTTCAAATAATTTTCTAAGCTAAAATATGGGACTAATTAAAAAAATGAGTTATGTAGAATTTCATGGTGAAAAAAGGTTTTAATGGGCCTTCCAAAATTAAAATCCAATTCAGATTTTCTCTATTCTAAGTAGGGTGGGAGTGTTTAAAAACCAGTTGACAATTCTGCCAATGATGTCATAAAAATAACAACTTACACTCAAGTGGTTCTGACTGCTTTCCTATTTGGCTGTGTTTTGAAAAACTAATGTCAACATGGTCTTAAAGTGCCACATCCTACTGACCACTTAATCAGCTGGATGTAAGGGACTCGAATTCCTTCATGTAAAAGCTTCCAGTGTCCCTTTGCTACTCACCAGCAGATGTCCCAGCGTTAACTGCTCTGCACAACCTCTGCTTTCATTCCGACAATAGATCTGAAGAGCCAGAATTTCTCTCTTGCAGCAATTATCCTTAAACACCTGAAAATGAAAGGTCATTATTTTGGAGGATTAATATTTCTTAATCTCCACATGCTGCTACTCTGGACAAGGCAAAACCACTTAAAAAAAAAAACAAAAAAAAAACAAGAGAGCAACTCTTAAGTGAACTTCAGAAAGCATTAAGGACCATCTTGATTTCTAGAAGTAGAATGAAGAAGCCACCCCTACTAAGAGACACAATTTAAATAACATTAACTGTTATCTTTTATTAGTTAAGCCAAAAGAAAATGGATTAGACTTAATAATTAAAGATCACTCTGCAGCATCTAAACGTCTTCTATTAACTCTGACATAATCTCAGGATGAGGGCAGAGGAGGACCAGGTTCACATTCAGACTCTGGGGACTTCCAGGAGCCAGCACTGAGCAGGTGGCCATTATGGTGTGGCTGCCACCAGAGGACAAGAGCAGAACCAGACACAACTGAATACACTGTACAGATGGCTTGCTGGAGAAACGGAGAGACCACATAAGAGATCATATCTGGGGAATGATTTGTAAAACTGTTGGTTCTTTCTAAAGGTCATGCTGTTAAAACTCATTTTTCACCAAAAAAGCAGCATTAGCCTGTGGCTGAAAAACACTCTCTTAAAACATATATTGCAGTCTGAAGTTAGTCTAATAAGGAAAACATTTCCCTTTGAAAATGAAAATGATGCTGGTCGTGGTGGCTCAAGCCTGGAATCCCAGCACTCTGGGAAACTGAGGTAGGAGAATCGCTTGAGCCCAGGAGTTTGAGACCAGCCTGGGCAACACAATGAGACCCTATCTCTACAAAAATTTTTTAAAAATTAGCTGGGTAGGGCAGCATGTGCCTGTAGTCTCAGCTACTCAGGAGGCTGAGGCAGGAGGACTGCTTTAGCCTGGGAGGTCGAGGATGCAGTGAGCCGTGATAGCACTGCTGCACTCCAGAATGGGGGACAGTGTGAGACCCCCATCTCTTTAACAAAAATAAAAAAGAAGAAAAGAAAAAATCTTTCAACTTTTAATTTTATTTTTCCCTTAGAAAACACATGTATTCTCATTCTTTTTTTTTTTTTTTTAAGAGACAGGGTTGACTGGGCACAGTGGCTCACCCCTGTAATCCCAGCACTTTGGGAGGCCGAGGCGGGTGGATCACCTGAGGTCAGGAGTTCGAGACCAGCCTGGCCAACATGGTGAAACCCCATCTCTACTAGAAATACAAAAGAAAAATAACTGGGTGTGGTGGCACAGGCCTGTAGTCCCAGCTACTCAGGAGGCTGAGGCAGAAGAATTGCTTGAACCGGGAGGAGGACGTTGCAGTGAGCTGAGATCATGCCACTGTACTCCAGCCTGGGTAACAGACTGAGACTCCATCTCAGAAAGAGACAGGGTTTCACTCTATCACTCAGGCTGGAGTGCACTGGGGCAATCATGGCTCACTACAGCCTTAAACTCCCAGGCTCAAGCGATCCTCTCACCTCAGCCTCCTGAGTGGCTTGAACTACAGGTGCATGCCACCAAGCCCAGGTAACTTTTCAATTTTCATTTTTGTAGAGATGGGGTCTCCATATGCTGCCCAGTCTGGTCTCGAACTCCTGAGTCCAAATGATCCACTTGCCTCAGCTCCCAAAGTCCTGGGATCACAGGCATAAGGCACCATGCCCAGTTCTTTCTCACTCTAACAACACAATCTACAACAGCTTAGTCCAAAGGTATTTCTAAGAAACTCCTGTCTGTTGATCTATGAAAGTAGAATAACAGGAGCTTAATATGCCTTTTTGAACTGCTAAGAGAAACAGAATCAATAGCTATTAAGAGTTAAAACTAAACTAATTTGGAGCCAAAGCTTATCTTTCATAAACATGACTTAAAAAAAAAGAAGGTCATGACTTAAGATACTAAAGTCAACAGAACTTTGAAATGGAAAGGATCTGAGACTATTTACTCTAAATGTCTGTTTACAGATGAAGACCAGAGGCCCACCCACCCCTGGATGACCTGCTGATGGGTGGGGGTCTGGGTCACCCGGGGCCCAGACAGCTCCATTCTTTCCATGAGGGTCCACAACTTGAGTGAATCTCATTTATGATTATTTGATAAAACTAGCCATTTTTCTTCAGCTGCTAATGTCATTAAAAAATAGGGATAATGATTCTGCATAACAAAACAGAAATACCAAAAAAAATCTCAGCCATCGTTGCGAGCTTCTCTCTCACTCACACGTTAGGCACATGTTAACAAGGCAGGCGGGTACCATGCTAGGACAAGGCACAGATCGGAGGGGAGGGCTGTTTTCCCTCACAGGAACTAACCAAGTCTTCAGCAGTAGCAGGTAAACGCGGAGAAAGAAAAGGTACAGGGCCCAGGTGGCCAATTCCACCTCTCCCCCTTCCAGAGTGGCTATATTGCATGCCCTTGTCCCTGGCAGCCCAGGGACGCTGACTGCCAGCAATCCTCAAATCACTGCACTCACCTGGGCTGCTCTGACCAACAAACCCAATCTGCAAGGTGCTTTAGACAGGAAAACCCCAGAGCAAAGAATTTTATTGTACAACTTAGTGACCTGCATTTAAAAAATGGTTAGGTTCATTACTCAAAGTAGGGAAACACACATTTTTACTGATATTTTAAGCACTTTAAAAATGAATTGCTGGGTGCAGTGGTTCACGCCTCTAATCCCAGCACTTTGGGAGGTTGAGGCAGGTGGATCACCTGAGGTCAGGAGATCGAGATTGGCCTAACCAACATGGTGAAACCCCGTGTCTACTAAAAATACAAAAATTAGCTGGGCGTGATAGCTTGTGCCTGTAATCCCAGCTACTCGGGAGGCTGTGGCATGAGAACTGCTTGAACCCGGGAGGCGGAGGTTGCAATGAGCCGAGATCGTGCCATTGTGCTCCAGCCTGTGCGACAACAGCGAAACTCTGTCTCAACAACAACAAAAAAGAATGAATTGTTTCAAACTCCAAGTGGGCCTGGCAGGGTGTAGCAGCACATGGATGACTGTCGGTCTCCATGAGAAGGACCAGGCCCCAGGAGAGAAGCTGGTGGCAGGCTGGGCAGCCCTATCCTCTGAATGTGCAGAGACGCCCACGGGCTCTAGCTGAGAACAGCCACAGGGGGCGAGAAGGGGCTAATCTCATTCATATCTAATGACTTCAAGATATCACAGGGGGATGGGGGGCAGGGAGCACAAACTCAAATGAACCCCTCAGCCTAGCAAGTCTGAAGGTAAAACCTAGTGTAAGAGTTGAGTAAAAGCTGTCTAGGATAAAGACCCGCAATGACGGAAGTGACCGAACCACAGACAGCCCTGCCACGGACAGGCATCTCGGCACTTTGCTCACATCGACCCTCTTACTCCTCACACCAGCTCTCTGCAGTCTTGGCAGGCGATGGGATTATTATTACAGGTGAGGGGGTGAAGCAGCTCACGTAGCTCACACAGTAGGGAAGTGGCCAAGTGGATCTGAACCCACTGCCTGCCCAGGTGATCACATGGCACAGTGCCCTGCCTGGGAGCCTGCCGCATCAGCTGCCAAAACTGAGAGAATGTGTTGTGCCAGAGTGCCGAATGCAAACTATGTGAAAAGTATTACCCAGCTGAAAACATGTGACAAAATGATTTAAAAAAAAAAACCAGAATACCTTATCTTTAACGATGCTCTCTTGACACGCTGTACATTTTGGACTTGATGAGCTGCAGGGAAACACACGTGACTACATTAGAGTGAAAGTCCCTTTCTTGAGGGGACTCAGGAGATTCCGGGAGCATTCGCTTTATGGTCAGGTCTGCACAGTGGCTCACAGCAACGTCCTGCATCAGGACGCCCTGGTGATTCACTTTACAAAGGAAGCCATGGGAGAAAAAAGGGCTACATTTTTTTAAATGCTGATTTTTCTTTTCTTTTTTTTTTTTTTGAGACGGAGTCTCGCTCTTTCCCCCGGCTGGAGTGCAGTGGTGTGATCTCGGCTCACTGCAAGCTCCGCCTCCCGGGATCACGCCATTCTCCTGCCTCAGCCTCCTGAGTAGCTGGGACTACAGGCGCCCGCCACCGCGCCCAGCTAATTTTTTTGTATTTTTAGTAGAGACGGGGTTTCACGTGTTAGCCAGGATGGTCTCGATCTCCTGACCTTGTGATCCGCCCACCTCGGCCTCCCAAAGTGCTGGGATTACAGGCGTGAGCCACCGCGCCCAGCCAAAATGCTGATTTTTCAAAAGGAAGTTACCAAGTAGAACAGTTTAGTTCAGCCCCACTTGGAAAGCCTCTTCCACTTAATGTAAAAGTGAAATTTTATTTCAGAAACCAAAGCTAGCTGTCTGCAGGGCAGCCCTTCGATGTGAGTACCGTTTACCTGGAGAGCCTTGCTCCTGTCCTGTGTTGTAAAAGCAGCCAGCCCTTCTCCACAGGCGATTTTGCTTCACTGTCTATTGGAAGGCCAATGACACTTGCACAGGGGGACCAGCCTCCCTCCCCTGTGGCCCACCATATATGGGGGCTCCAGCCCCTCCTCCACCAGGAAGCTTCTCCTGGACCCAGAGGTGGGCAAAGGTGAGCTGACTAGGATAAGCGGGTAAGACCACAGAGGGAAGCATGGAGAAGAGAGAGGATGAAGGCAGGTGACAGGGCAGGGGGCTGGCTGCTGTGCCCAGGCTGGGGCTCGGGGGCAGCCCAGGCTTGAGTGTTGTGGGAGGAGGAGCTGGCAACCTTCCCAGGCTGACGTGCCCTGACAGCATTGGCCAAGACCAGGGCATCCTGCAGCAACCCCACCACCCGGCACAACGCCAGAAAACATAAACATGAGGCCTGCAGGGTGAATCAAGGTGCTCTCCTGGTCGATGCTATCCTGCAGTAAAGTTCCAGCCTGCCTTCATGATCCGCCGGCAGCACCAGCACTGGCACTCAGCAGCAAAGCGCTGCCAAGAGCTCGGTGCATGTAACACATGCGCCTGCTGAGTAAGCATGCGGCCTAGGTTTCTGCTCGCCTAGGGACCTACCCAGTCCTTTAAGCTGACCCCATCCCCCCTCCTCTCTGTAGCACCCTTGCACACCAGTACATGTGCCCTTAAACGACTGGCTTGTCATTTCCTGGTGTGTCTCCTCCATGGAACTGTGAGCTTCCTCAATAAAATACAGCAACACATATGAGAGGCACCAAGGCTCTACAGACAGAGTGGGAAGACACAGGCGGGGCAGGTCAGAGACAGGCAGAGGCCTCAGTAAACTCAGATGTGGGAATCCCCCTGCACCTCCCTAAAGGATTCACGAGCTGGACCCGGAGGCTTTTATGACTTCTTTAGGGCTTTAAACCTCTAGAGGTGTAGCTTTAGAGAAATGAATGAAGGAGAGGGTGAAGCCGAGGGCTGAGAAGGGGCAGGGTGACGGGCCGGACGAGGTGCTACCTCAGCAGGGCAGCCATGCAGCTCTCGCAGAAGCGGTGCCCACACTCGGTCTGCTTCGGGCTGCACAGCACCAGGCGGCACTTCTCACACTTGTACTTGTCCTCCACGGTCTTCACAAACTTTTCCTTGTAACCTCCTTGTTCAGGGGCAAAAATCGGCGTCCCAGCACTGCGGTCAGTGTGCAGCTTTAGCGGCGGATTAGTCTGCAGCGGGCCAGGGGAGTCCATCTTTTTATTCGACTCCATTTTAGGAAAGAGGAGTTCTGTTGGGAAAAAACAGTAAAGAGAGCGCCATCATATCCTCTCATGCAAGGAAACAAACGCAGCTTTGGGAAAGCAGAAGTGCCTGAGACCTGCTGTCTTTCAGTTTTAGGTAACACAAGAATCCTTCCCAACTTTAATATGTGTTGGGAACAAAACATGATCAAATATGCTTCCTTCCTTTCTATTTTACCCAAACACACAGTAACTACTGATATTATTGTTCAAAAAACTTCCTAAAAAGTATACTTAATAAATTGGGCTAGGTGTGGTGGTGCACACCTGTGGTCCCGGCTCCTTGGGAGGCTGAGGTGGGAAGATTGCTGAGCCCAGGAGTTCAAGGTTGTACCAAGCTATGATGGCACCACTGCACTCCAGCCTGAGCGACAAAGCGAGGCCCTATCTCCAAAAATTTTTTTTTTTTTTTTTTTTTTTTTGAGATGGAGTCTCACTCTGTCACCCAGGCTGGAGTGCAGTGGCGCAATCTCAGCCCACTGCAAGCTCCACCTCCTGGGTTCACGCCATTCTCCTGCCTCAGCCTCCCGAGTAGCTGGGACTACAGGCGCCCGCCACCACACCCAGCTAATTTTTTGTATTTTTAGTAGAGATGGGTTTTCACCGTGTTAGCCAGGATGGTCTCGATCTCCTGACCTCGTGATCCGCCTGCCTCGGCCTCCCAAAGTGCTGGGATTACAGGCGTGAGCCACCGTGCCCAGCCAAAAATTTTCTAAAGTTAATAATAAACAGAGTATTTTTGAGGTTTAAAAAAATACACATACTATTTTGCTGTGTTGTAACTTTGAATTCAATGCATCATTCTGAGATTTTAGCTGAAACAACAGCTGTTCTCAGTCAGTTTTCCTTCCTCACTGACTTCTGCTAGATGAGTCTCGATGCCACAACTCAGACTGGCCTGGTCAACCTGCTTCTGGAGCCCAGTTGTTCCTTCCCGGGTAAACCCTGTGACAGTGTGCCCACAGTACCCGAAGTGCTCAGTTTTGACATCCACCCTCTTCTTATTCATCTAGCACCGCCCTGACCCAACATGCTGTGCACGGAGCTGTGGGGTGGGCCCGCTGTGGACCCACAGAGCACACCACACCCTGTCACACCGGTGAGGAGCGTGTGAGGGAGGTGCCGCTCCCTGTGTACACGAGGGGACTCGGGTTCAGGTTGGTGCCAATGTGCCCAAAGGGCTGGGCTGGCAGAGGGGACACCACAAAGGGCAGGTCCGTCTGTGCGGGCTCTCTTCCACACCTGCTGACAAGATACTCTTTAAGACTGGCTGCCTCCCACCTGCAAGTTCCCATCAACAGGTAAACAGCTCCTCAAAATGAGCCACAAAGGTCCCAGCCTGCACAGCTCTGCCAGATGAGACCTCAAGATCAAGTAAATGAAAATAACCAGGAATGTAAAGGAGTTGAATCGAGTTCCTGAAGAAATGTGAGCTTTAATAAAAATTACACTGTGCACTCATAAACACACTCATAATTTGATCAATCATCCTAAATATTTGCTAACACTTACCTAAAGCATAAATTAAATGTTTCCAGATGGTGGTATAAAGTCTGGCTTCTCTGGTCTTTGTTTTCTGGATACCATGCAATGGCCATGCACTTCTATAATGAAAAAAACCCTGGGAATGCCAGCTAGTGTTTAGGTCCGTGTGTGCACCATGAACTTTCTTGGAAAAGTTTTTGCCCAGTGCCTCATGATCTTTACGAGGCTTCTGCAGGGCAGCTCCAGCACGGATGCTCTTCCTGTCTTTAACGCTCAGCCTGCACCACTCCCCTCCTGTCAACAGCCCCTGGCCAGCCCTGCACCCCCATGTACCGTGGTAAGGAAGGGAGTGGCTGTGAAGGGAGGTGAGGGACCCACTGAGAACTAGACTCAGGAGCCTCAGGGAACACCGCTGCCTAGACCAGCCACCTCACATCAGAAGCCTCTGCACCACAGGATTTTTCTTGTGTAGTTTCCCACCTCCACACCTCCTCCATCCTTTCTCATGATATGGTAATGCCTCAGGTGAAAAGGGGAAGTTCCTTTCAAAACTCACCAGCTCCCTCAAAAACACACTGCATTCCTGTACCCAATTCATCTATTTTTGCTACTTAGAAAAATAAGAGCCAAATTCCTTCCACTCCTGAGGTCCTGGGCATCCTGCGGAGGTAGTTGCTGGGTGGGCGGGCGGAGCCCCTCCTTCCGAGCTCCATTCTTGCTGCCTGCATGAAGCTGACAGGCACATAAGCTGACAGACTCCTAGCCTGACTTCACAGCTAGGAGCAAACAGGAATGAACGCCGGCAGCAGAGAACTTGAGAGACTGATGAACTGGTTAGTAACTCAAGTGTGTTAGCTTCATAGAACATTACTGTGGCACAGTGTGGGAAATTACTTATTTGTGAAAACAAAGTTTTCAAAACATTAATGTTAAAGTGTATGTATTATAGATGTCATCTGCTTACAAACTTGCCGGTTCATCACGATGCTCACTAATCTCTCCAAGCTAAGCAGCAAGGGCACCTGGTGCTGGCCTTGCCTGCCAGGTAAAAGGGTTGACCAGCCTCGACCTGCAGCCCCCGGCCCCTGCCACTGTGCTCTCCACACTGGCCCATCGTGCCTCAGAGGCTTTAGGTTCCCCTAGGCCCGCCCAGCCGGGCCACTGCAGAGCCTACCCAGACACACGCAGGCCAGCCCCCAACCTTCTCCAGGAGGCTACCTTCCCACCCTCTCTCTCAACTCCCCCATACTGCTCTGTGCTTTTCCCCAGGCCTCCTGCCACTAAGACTGCATGTAACTAAGTTTACCCAGGATGCATCCCCTAGATCAGAGAATCAGGAATTGGCAAACTACAGTCTGCGATTCAAATCTAGCCAGCAGCCTATTTTTGTAAGGTCTTTGAACTAAGAATGTTTTTCAGATTTTTTAAGTGTTATAAAAACAAAGACTAAGAGTGTATGTGGTCCACAACGCCTAGGATATTTACTCTCTGCCCCTAACAGAAAGAGGTTGCCAGTCCTTGCTCTGGACTCTACATCCAGAGAGCAGAGAGGAGTCGCTGGTGTGTAGGTTGTATGAAAGGCCAATTTTGTAAATAAGTGCCAAACTGCTCCCCAAAGCAGAGGTAACAACAAATACTTCCACCAGCAGCATGAGAATTTCCATGAAACCACACTCTCACCAACACTTACAGTTATCGGTCATCTTAATTTCTGCCAATCAAGGACAATGGTCTTTTTGCTCCTTATCCTGATTAGAAAGGTTTGGCATCTTAATATGCCGAGAGGCCACTTGTTTTCTCTCCTGTGAAATGCCAAATTGTGTCTCCTTGTCATTGTTTTCTGTGTGTGTGTGTGTGCGTGTGCGTGCGTGTGTGTGTTTTCAAGAGATGGAGTCTCGTTCTGTTGCCCAGGCTGGAGTACAGTGGTGCCATCATGGCTCACTGCAGCCTCGAACCCCTGGGCTCAAACAATCCTCCCACCTCAGCCTCCAGAGTAGCTAGGATTATAGGCACATGCCACCATGCCCAGCTAATTTTTTAATTTTTTTCAGGAGCTGGGGGTCTTGCCTGCTCTCAAGCTCCTGGCCTCAAGTGATCCTTCTACCTCAGCCTCCCAAAGCGCTGGGATTACAGGCATGAACCACTGTGCCTGGTGGTGTCATTTTTTTAATTGGGTTATTGTCTCTTGTAATATTGATTTGGAGAGATTCCCCATCTATTTAATATGTTAACAGCTAATCCTTTGTTAGTTTTATGTATTACAGATGTCTTTTCCCAATTTATGGCTTGATTTTTTTTTTTTAATTATTGTAAGTTCTGGGATACATGTGCAGAACGTGCAGGTTTGTTACATAGGTATACATGTGCCATAGTGATTTGCTGCACCCATCAACCCGTCATCTGCATTAGGTATTTCTACTAATGCCATCCCCACCTTCCGACAGGCCCCGGTGTGTGATGTTCCCCTCCCTGTGTCCATGTGTTCTCATTGTTCAACTCCAACTTATGAGTGAGAACATGTGGTGTTTGGTTTTCTGTTCCTCTGTTAGTTTGCTAAGAATGATGGTTTCCAGCTTCATCCATGTCCCTGCAAAGGTCATGAACTCATTCTTTTTTATGGCTACATAGCATTCCATGGTGTACACGTGCTACATTTTCTTTATCCAGTCTATCATTGATGGGCATTTGGGTTGGTTCCAAGTCTTTGCTATTGTAAATAGTGCTGCAGTAAACATACATGTGCATGTGTTTTAAAAATATGGAACTGCTTCACGAATTTGTGTGTCATCCTTGCGCGGGGGCCATACTAATCTTCTCTGTATTGTTCCAATTTTCGTATATGTGCTGCCAAAGCGAGCTTGATTTTAACTTTATGGTGTCTTTTAATGAAGAGAAATCTTAATTTTATTAGGCCAGGCGCAGTGACTCTTGCCTGTAATCCCCGCACTTTGGGAGGCTGAGGCGGGTGGATCACTTGAGGTCAGGAGTTCGAGACCAGCCTGGCCAACACGGTGAAATCTTGTCTCTACTAAAATACAAAAATCAGCTGGGCATTGTGGCGCATGCCTGTAGTCCCAGCTACTCGGGAAGCTGAGGCAGGAGAATTGCTTGAACCTGGAAGGCGGAAGTTTCAGTGACCCGAGATCGTGCCACTGTACTCCAGCCTGGGCGACAGAATTGAGATTCCATCTCAAAAAAAAAAAAAAAAATTCAGATTAACTTGTGAGTGATGCTGATGAAAAAGGGACAATCCAATATATAAAACCAGAAAGCAGCTCTAATTCTATCACAGAAGCAATGTCAAAAGGAAGTGTTCTCAAATCAGACTAGTAAATGAGCCACTATGTCAAATTCACAGACATTGCTCAAGGAAAACATGCTTTTTCAACAAAAGCTGAAGAAATAAATGACACAAACCCTGAGCAGAGTCCAGCTGGCAGCCCTGTGACCTTCTATATCAATGAGGTGGCCACAGGACCGAACTGGCTCCTGGGAAAACAGG